CTTTGCACAGGGTATTAACTTGGATAAATGCAGTCTATACAAGGGTGGAGCAGTGCCACAGTTGTTGTCATTACAACTCTTTGAAACAATCTGAGTTAAATTCTTTACCACAGTTTATATCAGTGGTAGGTGGTATCTAAACCAATACCCCCCACCCCGCCATTTACTCAACCCACACTGACCATTATAAAGTATTGTTCCACACTGACCATTATAAAGTATTGTTCCACACTGACCATTATAAAGTATTGTTCCACACTGACCATTATAAAGTATTGTTCCACACTGACCATTACAAAAGTATTGTTCATATAACTCCTGTGTCTATCACAGTGTAGGAAGGCCTTCATCCAACAATGGATTGGCAAAAGAATGTGCATTATTATTGTTCTTTGGGTCTTTCAGTAAAGTCACGTAGATAAGTACAAATTAATACAAATAATAAATATAAAATAAACAAAACTACGACGTTTCGATCACAACACAAGCGATCGTCATCTTTCCTCCTCCTGATGACGATTTTACATTATTATTCTTATCAATAATAATTATTGATAAGAATAATGAAATTAGTACATATTAATTACATACAAGTCGGATGAGAGCACTGCCAGGTATGCCAGGGATACGTTTCTGATTCATGCAATCTGCCCGAAGCACCAAACATCTCTTAGTATTTATTCTTCCGTTACAGAACTGACGATAACAGAGTTGTCAGAATACTCTTACATGGTGACTTGCTTGTTCAGTATATATAGTGTAGGTAATATATATAAACACTACAATTAACTCTGTCCTTAAAAATATGACTCAGACGGAGTCATATTTGATTGTTTCACTTAAAATATATTTGAAACAAAAACACCTGATAAAAACAAGTTACTGTAATATCATACCATTAACTCATGCTCATAATAGCCATCAAAGGACAATTGCAAATTTCAGGCCACCTGAACTACCACCCATTCGTCTGCTACAACGTTCAGGGCATATGCATTTTTTTATTTGAAGTACACTCAAAGACAAGGCCATATATTAATCGACAGCGGTTTCCGAACCTACTTATTATTTTCCCCTTTGTTCTTACTTTTTCAAATAGACATTACAGTGTCCTTCCACACCCATGCTTTTGATATGAAGCCAATCACGCCGCACATTTGTTCCTTTTGAACGCACAGTTTTACTGGTATCCGTTGTGACGTTTCGTCGAGGTCTCTGACATATGGGCTTGCCATTTTACATTCAAGAACGTTTTCAGACAACACCACAGAAAATCGATTTATTCCTTCTTGAAACTGTTCCGTTTTCCAGTATTCATTTTGCATCAACATCACTCTTAACGGTAAATGGTTGGATGTAGTGTGCCATGCAAGTGGCCAGTAATTATTTTTTGTATTTATATATCAACTGTACCAGCTTGGAGACCCACGTTCAATCATGAATAACACAACATATTCCAACGGTGGCATTAAATTATAGCTGGGCTATCTGAGATATGTAATGGATTATGCTAGCGATGATCAATTCCATTACTCGACTCATCAGATAACACAAATATAATGTAGTTGGGGGGAAAAAAGTCTCACATCTATCCCCACGTGTGCTGCTGTGCAGGTGGTAATGGGCGGGGATTGGTGACGCCATCGGCATTATCAGCTGCATCACACTGGGAGGGGCTTGCAGGGGGTTTCCAGCCTTCGGCAGACAGCATGTGGAAACGGCCACTATTTGTAGAGGGGCCAGAGTTATCGACCACACAAAAGTAGTTGATTAATTGGCTTAATCAAATAATCATCTCAGCTCAACATTTTATAAATCAAAACCTTCTGATTCACACAATGTGCATGTAAGCAGCAGTAGAATATTTCTTTTCAGAAAGTGTAGAATTCTTGAGAACATATTCAAAATACTCCAAAGTGCTTTCGACAATGCGTGTAAAAACTATTAGCACTGCCTATTATAATTGGCAATTAATTATTTGAACCTAGAGTAATTGTCAAGTGGAATAAAGCATACCTATGGCACTCATTTAATGCTATTAGAGTTAAGTGCTCTAATTATCTTTAAGTTAGCTGCAAAGGTACAACACGCAAAGCTGTATTTCCATGACACTTTTCATAACTTCTCAGCTTTATGACCAGATTAACAATGCAGTATTGTTGTAAAGTAAAAGATAAACGTGCAGCCCTGAAATTGCTTGTTCACACCACTGCTGGAAAAATGGCCTCCGTTAGAGATGGCTATACAGAGCCCTTCTCGAGTGTATTTTGGCAGATTCTTCCATCCTGGCCAGACGTCTTGAAAGAGGTTGGAGTGCCCATTATCTTCCTCACCACACGACCTGCTGATCGACTCACTATGGTGGACCCAATTGCACTGCCGAGTGGACAGCCAGGGGGAGATTGGAGAATTTGTAAGTCGAATGTTTGTAAGGAGAGGAGTCCCTGCACATTTGAATATGGGGGAGTGGTGGTAACAGTGGTTGCACTATGAACCCGTTAACCCGAATTTAATTATTGGAAGCGGCTAACATCAGTGGCAAGTGATATCTGAACCAGTCATCAGCAGCTCCTTCACCAACCTCTGCTGACCAGTGTGGTGAAGTTGATCGGACAAACACATGTAAACTGGCACGGTGCGAGACGGTCTTCAGTGGACTGACAAAGGAGGTGTAAAAACATTATTCTTGTATTTCAGCACTTTTGAGGCAAGGGTTCATGAACCACAGATTTGGGTCAAAAACCCACCGGGCCACGGGACAGATAGCCGATGGCAAATACACGAGCCCATTGGGGCAGGCGGTTATATCCTAGAATGCGCGAGTGTTCCCTGGTTAATCAAGTTTCCTCCGACACGCTGAAACATTCCATAAGTAGGGTGCCGCGGTGGATAGATGTTAACCTGGTGTGCAGGTCGTGGGGGTTTGATCCCGACCCTGACGCCTATATATTTGCAGTTTGTATGTTCTCCCCGTGGTGGCGTGGATTTTTTTCCGGGTCCTCCGGTTTTTCCCTCCACATTTAGAATCAACATTACGCGCTTAGAGTATTTGGCTGATATACATTTCCACACGATACACCACTTTGTTGAGCAATTATTTGTGGCCAGGTCACTTCTGAAAAGGAGCTATATCGGACAGTAGGCCTTATCTGGTCAAATGTTTTTGCTTAATTGTAGTTTAGAAGTTAGCCAAACTTCCCAATTCATGACACTTCTGAAAAGTCATATATTTCCACAGCTCTGACCTCAACCTATGTACAGGATGCAGTTTGTGAGCCACAAGAAATGTTGCCAACAACAATGATTCAAAAATCAACATCCCTACGCCATATCGGTTCTGAGGCTTGTTTGAACCGTATTTATTTTTCGTTGTTGTAGCGCAACAAAACTTGATTCAGTGTGTCCAGCATACGAATACAATAATGCGTTTGTCCATTAGATTTACTGTACTGCCTTCCGATATCAACATAATCCAGCAGCATGTTTAAACAAGCCGGACTATGCTGATGAAAGCAGGGTCGAAAGCAGGGTCGAAACCGGTCCAGAGTTTGTGTACTTACACAAATGTTGCTGGATAACATTGGTCTGGAAAGCCAACAGACCGATGGAATAACCATCTATTATATAAATACAGTACTCTATGGGCAGACAGAACGGGGTTTGTTGCTTGTGATGTTTTCCCCACGCCCAGCAGAGGAATCAACTTGAGTATGTGTTGTTGCTCGATAGCCATAAAATGTGAAGATGCTACTCGCTGTACATACACCCGGTATACGAGCATCTGCAAGCGTGAACTCTCTGAGGAATCTCACAATTCCAGTACCAGATAACTGTAAGTGCTTCATTGCCTGGCGACAATTTTTTGTGTACAAGCATGAACGGCACAGTATGCATCTACATATGTTCGCCTTTTGAATAATGTATATGCATCAGTATACGCCAATGCACGACACGTACAGTCTCTGCATTCATTTGGGGTTGTGTTTTCATCCGAACCCAATTCCAATCGTGTAACTGGAGCCGGCTACCAAGAGTTCGATTCCGGGCCAGGGCGAACATCAGTGGCAAGTGATATTTGCACCCTCCCCCCCTCAATCCGTATTTAACCAGCGTGGTGAAGTATGGTCAGCCATCTCCCCAAGACCGATACAGCGTGATGAGCAAATATTTCACCCAGTGGTGGATTGATAAAGTGATGTGACTACGCTGCAAGGACTGCATTGTTAACAGCGGCAACGTTTAATTGGCATCGTATGTCTCTGATGCGATTGCGCGATATCCCAGCGCCAGCTCTCTGCTGCCCCTAGCGTCCGCAGTCGCGGGTTAGGGGGGCAGTGGGGGGGGGGCTCTCGCAACAAGAATCGAAAATCGACCCCGGCCCCCCCACACAGCAACTCAGCAGCCCCGGGGTATCAACTCGCGTCTCAGAACGACCAACAGAAGCCAGCTGGGCCGTCCCATCATCCGCTTCACAAGAAGCAATCGGGCGCATGCGGCTGTGGTGCCACCAATCGCAACGTTGGCGTGCACGAACCATGCACCACCGCATCCTCCGGATTATAAGACGCTCCGCGATGTTGACTCGTGCCCGGTGTCAATAGTTATACAAATCTGGTCAAGCACACATATACAGAACACCTACCGAGTATGTATGCATACAGTACCACCAACTTTTATTGGAAGTGTCTTATAATCCATATACATTAATGTACGTCCCCTTTGTCAATCCACTGCTGGCTGATATCTCCCCATGTCGTATAGACGCTAAAGAGTTCGTCTCACTAAACAGCGCAGTCGTTGATATGTTAGCCGTGGCAAAGAATCGAACTCTGTTCAGTCGAGTTTACGGAGCAATGTGCCAAGATCACTGCTTCCATTGCGCCAACGCTCCACCGCTGCAAGGAGATATTCGGTAGCAGCAGTTGGGGTTTGCAATGTAAAGGATTGTCAACTTGATTCATGGAAGCCTGCTCTGTGTTAGAAATACATCCATCAAATACCGTTTGGCAGGGAAGTCGCGGAAGAACAGATGGTGCCAAGACGAGACTCGGAACTCCTCCACTTGTAGAATCAGTCCAGGGGGTTCTTTGGATATTTTATCTCGCCCGCGTTGATTATTTCACAGATGTCCGGCAGTTAGAGATCTTCGCGGTTATTTAGTAATTGTTTGATACGTCGAAGCACGTGCAGGGTTCCAGCGCAAGACACAGACATGTATACAGTATGTTTGACTCGCAATACGTAGTGAATTATATTTAGCAACATTAAACGCAAGCCGCTTTCGTAACAGCCGAAGTTGCAATGCCACGCGCTGTAAAGCCTGCGAAACCATTTATCTCTCATTCCCCAATCGCTTTCGCACAGAGAGCACAACAAGGAACACACACACACACGCCCCACCCAATTCATCCTCACCCCCACCCATACACAAACACACTCCCAGCCAGTTCACCCACCCCCCAATACACCATCACTCTAACCCCCACACACTCACACCCAGCCAGTTCATCCAACACACACAGCTAAAACACCATCACTCTAACCCCACACATACACACACCCAGCCAGTTCACCATAACACCCCCTCCAACACACCATCACCCTAACCCCCACACGCATACTGAGACCCAGTTCACCCCCACACATAGACGCCCAATACATCATCACCCTAAAAAAGACAAAGGTACCCCGTATAGCCTGAACAGAACGTTGGGGCAAGTGCGGTTAGTGAGCGCCTATGAAGGCCAACACGGCACAGCAGGGGGTGGGTGGCCAACACTACGCCTGGCCGCTTTTGTCTCCCTAGTGGCGATGTATACACGCCGCACCAGGTACTCATTTGAGACTGGTCGACCTAGGCGAGGCACAGGACCGGTTCAAAGAATCGGTACTCATGTTGGTGGCCATGAGCGGGAACCCAACTCATCTGGTCGGGGTCATAGCATAGCGCGCAAACCGCTACAATACCGCTCCCCACATGATCACAACATACACATCTAACCCATGTCATCCAAACTCTCATTCACACGCCACCAAATTTACCATCGCCCAAATCACCGACACCAACCCACAAATATAATAGTGGCACCTGACTTACCACCACCTCATCTAACCACAAATATTTAACTTTTTTTATTTTACCAGGTACGGCCCATTGAGCTATATATCTCTTTTTCAGAAACGACCTGGCCACAAATAATAGCTCAACGAAGTGGCTTATCGCGTGCAAATGTATAGCAGCCCAATACTAATGACGCATGTTTCTATATGTCGAGGGAAAAACCAGAGGACCTGGAGAAAAATCCAAGCGACCACGGGCAGAGGCTGCAAACTCTAAATATACAGCAGGCATCGGGGTCTGGATCGAACTCACGACCTCCTCCATGCAAGGCGAGGGAGTTAACATCTCGCCACCGCGGCGCCCCAACACATACACTCTCACCGCATTCACCATCATTCTAACCCCAGTCTTCCTCCACTCCCTACCATGCATCCAAACGCACTCTCACATGACAACATACTTGCAGTTTACACACATACAGTGCTTTGTATCAGCAAAGCACTGTGTGTGAACAGTTTGGAAAGCTGTCCCGGGAATTATGTTGGCATGCCACATCCATCGAGCCTCATTTGGTCCTCATGATACTTATTTTGTCAAGACAGAATTACAGGCATATAGGATACAATATAGTAGAGTCGTTATGTATAAGCGTACTTTGTACTCTAGTAGTAGTGCCTTACACCGATAATCCGTACTCCAAGTGTCTGCCTCACATCGTTCCGGAAAATATCGAGCGAGAACGCAAGCCCTGCATAAACTCCCCACCAAATGTAACACAACCCATGCATTGCAACGGTCATCATAAACCACTGTGCAAACATACGTCTAACCCAGGGGTCGAAAACCTTTCAAAGAAGAAGAGTTTTTATTTTATGTTTTGTCTTTGCCCTTTCTTTACGTTATATTACATTAAAGATTTGTCTTTAAACCGGCTGCCCACGAGGGGCAGCCAAAGAGCCGCTGCATGCGGCTTCTGCAGGTTGCCGACCCTGCCTGGTCTCACCCAGTTCACTCCTTGAGCCTCACTTCAGCGGCTCTACCCACAAAATCTATGCTAAGACTGTGCATGCTCGTGTTGTAAGTGAACACCCATTAATCTCACCAGTACCTACATATACATGCATGCCCTACGCAAGCCTTCGAAAGAACACTAAGAGTTATTGTAACAATATAAGCTTAATCCGTACCCCTGTACACAGGCAAGCATTTCAGTCGTTATCCCTAAGTCACCCATACACATACTTTTACCACAATTCCCAGGCTTTCCCACATGTAATATGCGTTTGTGTACACATGCGTTTAAGACTTACCAAATACAAAGATCCCCCATATAGCCTTTAACAGACTGTTAGGGCAAGTGCTGTTAGCGAGCACCACCGCCCTCCTCTCAAACACCAAGTCTGACAAGAGCAGACTATCCCTGCATCCAACAGCATCGAAGTCAGCCCCCTCTATATGACCATCGCATTATGTAACACTGCCGTCCATTTGAAAATGCAACGCAGACATAATTATATATCGTAATGCCACATCTGTTATTGGTCGTGCTGCCTGTCAGACAGTGGGAAGCAAGGTCTTGCTTTGTGGAGTCCAGGTTGGCAAGGCTACACTCGCATGCTTGCTATTTAAGGTGATGTGTCGTGATAATGAACAGGTGTGCTCTGTTTAAATCCCATTGCTTACAGGCACGGCTTTATTTCTCACTCGATATTCCGAACACTGCTCACCTCGGCTTAGAGTAAAGGATTACGAGTGCACGGTACAACCAATAAAGTGCACCTATCCATAGTACATCCTGCATTATACAAGCTATATTCCTATGAAGAGGGTTGCTAATAATGAGATATATGGATGAACAAAAACAAGTCACAGCAAGATCACTGCAGCGATCTTGCTGTGACTGTTCCACCTGAAGACGGAAGCTTGTGTTGCCTCCGAAACGTCGTGATTTAATTGTTTTCTTTTATTTTATTTTACCTACGTGACTTTACCGAAAAAAACCAAAGAGTATGAATCCTTGCAGTCACGAAAGCTTCAAATCTAGAAAAACAAGTGAGATTAATTAATTCCCGGTACAGCGTTCTGGACTGTTCCAGCTTTAATGAAGCTACCGCTTACAGGTGTACGGTACATTGCTTTAACATGATCGCTTGTCTCCATGGTTGCTATTTGTCCCAGTTCCCAGGATCATCCTGTCCTGGGAAAACTGTAAGTCCTCTCATGGCATTAAGTCTTGTTTTTTTGTCAATTTCATGATAATACACCACCCAGCCTCACATATTCATGTGCAGTTATCCCTTATTCCAGTATTGTGAGATATTCCTCTTCTCCCATGATACGTGTTGTTGTTTTTTGTTGTACCCACGACGCGAAAACCTTTTGTCTCTGGAAGTGCCCACGTGTGTAGATGTTCATCCACGTGCCTCAATATCACTGGGTTTCCAAGGAGTAGGAGAAATAACTCAAATAATGTTTAACCCAAATGTTGTCGTATTTAAGTTGAGTAACTGACCATGTTCCGAAACCGAATTGTTCGTCTTTAAAGTCCACTGCTGACCCTGTGATTTATGCATTGTTTTACAGTTTGCGCTTGATTATTAAGGGCTGTCATTTGATAGAATCTGTCACGTGTGGCTGATATGGAATTAAAACCCATTCACTGCTTACAAAATACATTTACATACGTTTTCATCAACATATAAAGGCATTCGTTTATTTTTGTTATGGAACGACCAATACATTTGGAATTGTACTATCGATTTTACAGACTTTGATTAAACTAAACGGCACTCATGTACATTTTTAAAACATGTAACTTTAAACCCAGTATATGTCACATGCGTACTGCTGTTGTGCATACAAACATAACTCTTTCTAGCTCTCTCATGTGTGTTTGGGTTGTGCCACATGTTGTTTAGTATGATGTCCAACATTTCTTCCCACATGCTGAGAGCTATACAGCACATTTGTGCGAACCTACGCAGCAGTATAGCTATTTAAAACTTAAACCTGGCCTCTGTTGCATTCGTTCTATAGTTTGTTAAGCTGACATTTTTGTTCTGTGGCCAATTTAGGCTTCAGTGGGATTTCACCTGGTTATGTTCACATGTGTTTTGACAATTTAAAACCTTACTTCAGCAGTCATTGTATTGTTTCGTTCATCTGTGTAATGGTATGTGTAACGTCAAAATGCATCAGTAATTTACATTTGTATACGGGATGTGCTGTGTTATTTTATATATAGGAGTGTCCAGGAATACGTTGTAAAAACACATTGTTGCAGGGCGGTGCCATTTCTTTGTTTATCCACTTTTGGTTTTGCTTGGTCGTAAGGTTTTCATCTGCTTGGTAGTGGCTGTGTATGGGATTTCGTCCTAATATATCATTAATGCACAGCGTTATATGGGATGCTATTTTCATGAATGATGCTATGGAAAATGAAAATATTATATTAAAACGCGTATTCCACTGCTGGATGAAGGCCTCGCCACACCGCGCTCATCATGGGGGTTATTTTATTATACTTCACCATGCTGATCAGTGCGGTTTGTTGAAAAGTGGGACCTAGCACTGGCTCGGATGTTACTCGCCACTGATGTTAGCTGTGGCGTAGTGTAACGCAATGCTTTTCTTTGTTTCACAGTTTGTTTCTGTGGTCTTTGTTCTGAAAGCTGCAGGCCACTTCCAGTGGTGCCCACTGGATTTAATGGGGAGCACATGTGACATTTTGGGCTGAAAATCGCATACCCCAAGTGCAATGCTTACTTAACCAAACATTCGTAAACTAGGCGGACGTTGATTCGCTTCTGGAAAACATCGCGTATGGGTATTCATAACTAGAAGAGGTCGAGTACGAAGTTGGCGTTTCTGCCCTCACAGAATAACCCGGATTACTTTTGCACATGCGTCACATGGGAAAGGTTTTAAAAATAACAGGTCCTTAAGTGGCCCCACAGACAGAATAATTCTGTGCTTGAGTCACACCAGTAGATCACACTCATCAACTTACCTGACCCTGCTCATTATAGCAGCTGTTATACTGTGGGCAGTCTTGCCCCCATCATAAGAATGTGGAATTTATTTATTTTTCAATGTTTTAGGGCTACCAACGAACATGAGAACTGCCCAAGCGTGAGCATGTAAACATTTACAAGTTTTGACTTTACTGCACATGACTCCCGGCTTAATTTGCTTTTCGACTCAAACATCATCTCTTGATTCCCGCATTCTGCCTCTCCACAACACAAAAAACATTTTTTAAAAATCCTAAAGCTGTGCATGTCTCCGCCCCTATTTGTAGAGTGTCTAGAAATGCAGTCGC